TTGCAATCCTAAACAAACCACATCTCCATGTTACTGAATGAAGACAAGGAAAACTACTGGATGTATTGGTGTAGAATATTGCTTGCAATCCTAAACAATATTCTACACCAATACATCCAGTAGTTTTCCTTGTCTTCATTCAGTAACATGGAGATGTAGCAGCATGACTAACAGTCTTCTCTATTTTCAGTACTTTTCCCACAGTGAATTAGCATGAGACAAACTGATATGAAGTACCACAGACACTTGTACGCAATATACCGAATCCCTCAAGCTTTTACCCTTAGAGCATCTTGCGTCCAGCCGACTGTCTGTGGCAGCAGCTGACTTTTCAAAGCTCTGTGCAACAATCCACATTGGAAACGAATTGTATACTCACAAAAGATGTTGATGCAGTAAGATTTTGAAATGTAGTATCTTAATTAATGTGCAGCAAAGTCACATAGATATAAGTTTCTTTAAAATAAAAATGACAGTTTTTGATGAAACAGTAACAATTTAGGCATAAAAAATAAGTACTGCAGTATACTTACCATATTTATATTTGGACATTTGAGGAATTAAAAGTGCAATATGAAGATAAGGGATGTACATATATGATACCAATTGTTAATTTTAATGGCTAATATAAAAATAAAGTGGATAATGTTTCTTCAACTGGTGATTTTTCTAATTCAAGTTTGCATAGATATCCCTAATTTATACTACTGACCATTCAGCAACATTTGCCACAAGGGCTTTGAACCAAGTAAGAGGATAGACTGCCATCCTTATAACACATCCAACACTAAAAGTATGGAGGACATTTAGCAGCATTGCAAACCTATTGATCTTTAACCTCTAGGTCACAACCAGCCCATAATGTAAGATTTGGACAACAGCGTATCTGTAATTTGAGTGTGTAATATTGAAGATAACATTTTAAGACATAGAAGAAAACTAACTGACACAGCCTCTTGGCTGTTCTATCAGTCCAATAAAGACAACTTTTAAGCAGTAATAAAATGGACAAAGAATGCTTTCACAATGAAATTTAGAAAAACTATATTTGATGCGTTTGTTTTTCAAATAGAACTCATATTTCATCCATACCTTCACCATACTTCTTAACAGATTTCAGTATCAGCATGTCTTCTGGTACCGTCCAGTTAGAAAGCTTGATGTCCGGCCGTAGCGTGTTACAATACCTGGAAATTCATAACGTTACGTAAACAAGTAAAGAGACTTCAGAGATTCCATCAATGGATGAGTGGTGGAAAGAATTCCAATAATGATTAAACTGTATACCATTAAATGTTATAATGTGACGGTCAATCCCACTATTCGTTGGTAAAAGAGTAGCCCAAGAGTTGGTGATGACTAGTTGGTGGGTGGTGATGACTAGCTGCCTTCCCTCTAGTCTTACATTGCTAAATTAGGGACGGCTAGCGCAGATAGCCCTCGTGTAGCTTTGCGCGAAATTCAAAAACAAAACAAAATTACCTGCTTAGTGTAAAATATCCTGAATGAAAGTAATTGATTTTATTGGTATACTTTACAAGATTATCGTAGCTTTGAATACGAACCAGTTTAGGGAGAAATAAGTTATTGAATGTATTGTAGCACGTATGAAATGTTCATAAAAAGCTACAAAAAAAGTTATTTCCTCACACACAAACACATTCTGGAAGCTCTATTTATCCCAGTAGAGGTTTCGGACAGTCAAGAACAAAATCTGTGTATATGAAGATGTGACACATTGCTTTTAACACTTATCATTGTAACATTGAGAATCGTATAAAAGGCGATGTACCTGAGAGTTTACACGATCCCCACGGCTGAAAGGACGAGCATGTTTGGTGTGACGGGGATTCGAACCCGCGACCCTCAGATTGCGAGTCGAGTGCCTTAACCACCTGGCCATGCCGGGCACAAGCAGGTAATTAACTAACTTGTATGTAACTCTATGTTAAAGTACCTTACACTGCATCTAAAATATAAACATATCATTTTCCTCTTCAAGTTTTATTTTTGGATTGAAGCTAATACCAATTTCCCTCTTTATGTTTCGAATAAAACTATTACATGGTGTTTATCACAACTCAAAAATGTACAAACAATTCCACTCATGGAAGATATTTCTAATTTCTATCATAGATGAGAAGAGATAAAGAGATGACCATCTCTCTGTGAATAGTTATTTAAGTCTGAATATCTCATAGCAACTTGTAGGTCTAAAATTTATGATAAAAATCATGGAAACTGGAAATGTTTTTTTTTCTACATTTCTTTTAATTCATCTATCTTAGATTCAAAATCAGAGGCATGTCAAAATAGCATTTTAGATCTATCTTTCGTCTCACTTAAGTCGCTGTCCAAGAGGACTTTCATTCAGTACCAGTCAGTCGGGCTGAATGATGAGAAACACGAGTTTCGCTGAAACGTTATTTATATTTGCTATATAATACTTTAAAGTTAGGCTTTTAAATGCTGAAATCTGGTGAAGCATTTGAAACTAAATAGGCCTAAAATTTGTGATAAAAATCATGTAAACTGCAGATGTTTTTTTTATACAATCCTCTTAATCTGTTTATTTTGGATTCAAAAGGGTCTTCTGTTCAACAGTAGAACTCGTCAGGATTCAAAAAGGTCTTCTGTTCAACAGTAGAACTCGTCAGGATTCAAAAGGGTCTTCTGTTCAACAGTAGAACTCGTCAGAACTGCACATATATACTGCATTTCAGAGAAAGTTTGGTTTCCAGCCCAAATTATGAGTACTGATATTTAAAAAAAAGTTTTCTTGGGCTGCGACTCGTAGAATAGAAAAAGAGAAGAGATGAAATGCCATGTTTACATGCCTGTGATTTCGAATCCAAAATGGACAAATTAAAAGAAATGTTGAAAAAAAACATTTGCAGTTTACATGATTAATTTTTAACAACAAAATTAATTTATAATGCTTTGCCAGCTTTTGGCATTTAACCATAACTTATAAAATATTATACTACACAGATAAATAGTGCTTCAGAAAAACTTTTGTCTCTCATCATCCAACCTAACTAACAAGTTCTGGTATCGAACAAAGGTTCTCTTGGGCTGCAACTAGTGGACAAATTAAGAAGAATTTACAAAAAAAAAATATTTAGTTTCTGTGATTCTTATTACAAATTTTAGGCCTATATAACATAAAAAGTTAACTTTTGTCGGTACTTGGTTACTTCTGTTAGGGTACCTCATACTGAAATTGTAACAAATAACCCAGATAACCTGCCTTTCTCTGCATCGATAGTTATTTCTACCAGGGAAATATTTTGAAACTTTCATCCAATTTTCACCATGTCTAGCAACAGCAGCTAACAGCATCTGTGAATAAAATAAAATTTGTCATTAATAGTTACCCAAATTTAGTACAAATTACACAGGTTACTATAACTCAACAAATAACGACTATGTGCACAATGTTGTAGAAATATACCAAACATGTATTAAAGGTTTATGAAGCAATACAAACATTATTACAAAAACTAATAGTACTACTTAAGACGAAACCAGTACTGAATTAACGTGTAAATATAATTCTCTCGGCCGATTCAGATCATCCACTTCAAAATAAGGTCTTGAAAGAACAAAAATGACACAGCATCTCTTCTTGAACTGTAATATATCTACCGTTACATATTTACGTAATTACGGAGAAATTTGATGTCAAAAATAAAAGAAGTTAAATTTTACAAATCGCTTCTCTTTCACACAATTTTTAACGGTGTTTAACAACACCTCTAATTCTATTAATAAATTCTGGGTTTTCACCAATTAGGTGTTTTTTTCTTCCTCTTATGTCACAAGGTTATCCTGCTGCTTCACAAGTTTCAAATAAATTTATGAACATTTTAAAGTATTAATAAGCTCATTCAAACTTACAGTTAGCTGCTTACAATTTCAAACCGAAATGATTAATTTTCACACATTTTTGAGAATAGGAAGACCTTTTATTTACTTGTATAAAATCATGTTAAAATTAAAATTGTTGCAAAATGTAATTCATATCAATTCAAGAGACGATAACGTACAAATGATCCAAGAAACACAAATACAAAAAGAAGAAAGCACGGAAACTAGATGCTTAAAATACTTACAGTATCTTCTTCTTTTGACCATTTCCCTCGTTTGATCAATGGATCCAGAGCATTTGTCCATCTGTACTTACACTGTTGAGTACTTCTGTCTTCAACATAATATGCAACTATAATAAAAAAAAATAGGTAAAGTACGAAACATTGTACGAGAAACTAAGGAAGCATAAACCGTAAGCTAAAAACAGCATAAAATGACATACGTAGTCGAATTATAATTATAATAAATTTCATAGTAAACATTTATGTTCCTAAGAACTAATCCATAGTATCAACCCCCAAGAAAAAAAAAGTGTAAGCCACTGCAGCTGTGGTCAGTATGTTAACAAAGAATGAATTGGATTCATAAATTAAAAATGTACAATAACTGGATGAAAGTGGATTTATGTTGATAAAAGTTTATACTATACTATTTGCTTGTATAATTTAAGATTAAATAAAATGTTACCACTACACTACTTATATAGTTGCAAAATAAAAAGATTAACTCCTTATACTAAAAGTAAAAAGTTTAAGTTTAAGTTTTTACAAGAATTGTTTAATAATTATAGTTTATATATAAAACAACAATACCGACTGACTAACCTTGAGGCCAAGGAATGAAATCTCCCACTTTACAAGACATCACAACTTCGAACAAAAGTTCATCCTCTTCTTTAGTCCACGTACTACATCGATACGAAAAACGTTTGACTATATCTACTTAAAAACAAACTCACACAACTTAGTTTCTGACCTGTTTTAATTGCATACAAAATAAGTGAACATTTATACAAAAATTAATTAGTCACCAACACATCTTTTAAATGTAATGCCATGCTGAAAAAATACTGTTTTGATGTTGATTGACACAATCGGTTTCTACGGATAATGCAGTGATATACTGTTGTCTTTTATCACCATCCTTAAAAAGCAAAACAGGAATTGAAAGGTAAGTTTTATCTTAAAGTTTACTTCTACTGAGAGAGTTTATAGCTGTTAAATAAAGTCTTAATTAATATAATAATACACTATTTTCTTGATTGATTAAAGACGAGAATTTCAGCCACAGTTTCAATATCAGCCAAAGATTTAACAAACGTAGCACTTATTTTATTTCAATGCTACGACACATAAAATAAAGACATTCAAGTTTTTTAGATCAAAATTTAGCAAGCACACAGATGTTCAGTAAATCAAGCCCTTTTCAACACGGTCACAAGATCCTACTTTCCAAACTTTAATTTTTTTTATTTGGGAGAAAAGCAAAGGGTTATGGAGCAAAATTAAAAACGTAGCCCCCTCCTTACACTCTTTAAAGTTGAAACAGGGATCAGGTGTAGTGTTGAACCAACTGACAATAGAAACAGAAAAAGAGTACAACTGGCATCCACCATAGTGACAAATAGATGGGAAAACAAAAGACGGCAATACTTTGGTACTGGTACCACTTGAAATAAAAAACATACGAGCAACAAAACAACTCGACTTCGGTGATACCGTAAAGTTTGATTTTTCTCTATTTTATACAGTTGGCTCCAATGATTAATTAACTACAAAGAAACCAGATAACAACTCTGAACTTTAATATTGGTCTACAGTGTTACAAGGAAGCCATGCACTGACCTCTGGAATTTTAACAACAGATTTCAGCCTCATCTTGACCGGTCATTGAAGTTTTGTAAATTTTGAATGGATAAAATGACTATTTTGTTTCTTTTAATACCATTAAATATCTTTTTATTAAGCTCGTGGATAACTCATGATTTTTCTATCGAAGGCCAATTAACTTCCAAGATGTCATAAAGAAGTCCTAAAATTTAGTGACTTAGCCTACTATAGTTAACACATCTATTGAGAAAAGTTTCGGTGAAAACCGTATCAGTAATTTGAAAACTTACCCTTTCTGTAGCTGTGAATTTAGTTTACTCTGGTATCTCTCCATACATTGAAATGCTGTTCTGTTGCTCTGAAATAAGAAAATATTCTGAATTAAACTTTTCCCCCCCATCTTTTCTCGACTTTATGACTGAAAATCTAAGCTTCAAAACTAATGGTTAATTAAGAAGTAATTACTGTATCACCTTATTAACTGCATATATTATGAAAATACTGTGAAAAAAAAACAACATTTTCCTTGAATTTCTTACTTAAGATAGGTCTATACTTCTATTTTCATACATCAGATGTGCCTTACAATAGTCTTGGGTAATGAGATTTGCAGTGGTGAACATTGTACATAAACAAATCCATTTTCCAACAACCAAACGTTGGTTTATTTTTTATGCTGACAGTGAAAATTTAAGACTTTCACAGCATCTTGACTAAAAAACAATTAATTTGCAAGGATTTCCAGAACTAAAATTTTTTATAGCTTGTTTTCCATGGCTTGCCAGAACAAAACTTTCAAGGACATATGCAAAACCTATC